CGACCTCCTTATCGTGGTAGACCCTTGCATGCTCGACCTCCTATGCCATTGTGCACATCGAAACCCTTGTATTCGGGCTCGTGCGCATCTCTTAGGCCATGCAAACCTTGTTTCGGCCCTTTGCTCGACCTTCTTGGATAGTATCGTCCCTTGGTCCTTCTCGCCTTCGGGGGTCGACACCCACATACACATCACGCCTCCATCCCCACAAGCTGACGCCTAGGCCGTTCACTGCTCCTCCCGCAGGCGAGCCCGAGCCCCCGACTTGCTGTTATCGTGCGATTCGCGCGGTCATTTGCTCGCGAGACCTTCGTAGTCAACCGCTGCACGTCGTTTTCCTCCGATGATTTTTCGTTCACGCGTGTTCTCTTCGTTGCTTTTGAGGACCCCCCCTCTCCTGACGTCCGCTGTTTGAGCAAGCCACTGGCAGCAACCCTAGCAGCTGAGAACCAGCCCCCGCTGCACTCCTCTCCCAGCGAGACGCGAGAATCCGTCGAGCCCGACAATCCCGTTCGTGTCCTACGTTCCGTTTCTCTGAGTTTTTCCCGAGAACGGTACCTAGTCGAACCTCGTCTCGTTAAATCATGTATATTGTTTGCATTATGTGTTTAAATTACGTGTTGTGCTTGATTTGCGATTAAATATACGCGTTATTATGCTATGTAATAAAATGAGATTTATTGTGTTGTGGTGTTTTGTGGACCTCCTCGATTTTGAAGGATCGAGTGAGACTTCAAAAGGCGTGTAAGGCTGTGGATATTGGAATCAGGTCGAGTCCTTGGCCTTAAGAGAAGGCCTCAGACGAGAATTATATGTTATGAGTCAAATGTGAATTTACCGAACTCGTATGCTCGTTGTTTTAGTGTTTGAATTTTTAAAAATTATGTACTGATCAGATTGCCTTGATATTTTGAGGGTTGTGTCTTATGATGATTACAAGGCTTGTGTAAACATTTCATAATTTTTCACGGCCTGTAGCTATTTTTAATAATTAAAGTGATTTTTGGGCAGAAGCTTCGAAAAATCATATAAAATCGATTTGATCTCCAAATTTGCTGAATTTTCAATATGTTGTTCCTCTGCGATTATTGTACGATGTGTAAAATGTTTAGAATTTTTGGACTAAGTTTGATAGGGCAAATAATTTATTATAGTATTATGTTGAAAATAGTTTTAATTATGATAAATTGGTCAGTTGCTGGAAAATTCAGATTTTTAGCTGAAGTTCTTGTTTTATGTGGAGTTTCATGCTGTAAAAAGAATGAGATTTTTGGAGTTCGAATTGGTTCGGTTTTAATTAAAAATTTATAAACTACAGAAACTTGTTGGAATTTTAAAATTCATGTGTTTATTGTTTAAGGCTAATTTTTTATGTGTTACTCCTTAACTGCTGTAGTTGCTCCAGTAAAAATTTCAAGTACCAATTCCTTCATTAGGTCAAACCATGAATTTTATGCTCGTTTTTGCTAAAATCGTGTTTGAATTTTATAAAATTGTATATAATGAGTTTGGGGCTGAAACTTGGTGGTTTTACTAAGTCCATTGAGAAGGAATTTATGTTAAAGTTTCAGAACCTAACTCATTCAGAAACTTGATAAACCTAATTATGTGATATATCATTTTTTATTTTTCAAAAATGTAGTTCTTGTGTAAAAATATATAAACCGGATTTCTTGTTGTCATTGTGACTTGTTTGAACTATCGTTTATGTGATATGTATGTGAAAACCCATGTTTGGTTGTTCGAGTCTAAGTCCTAGAGTTCCAACGTCCACAAGACTTCACGAACAGCTTAGTCGAATCAAGTTCGATTAAGTCAGTTGTGTGTTTTCTGATTAAGTCAGGTTAGGTATTGATGTTAGGATCTTGACATAATGTAGGTATTTGAGGAGTCAAGCCTCAACCTATGTCTCTTATGTTATGCTGATATCAATCCGGAATACAAGTGGGTTTACTTATAAAATTTGCTATGCCGTATGTGTTTACTTTAATGTTGGGTTGGTATGATCTAAGTATGCATGTAAACCATGTAGCCTATCAGCGTGAGCCATTTCGGCGGTCGGTACGGTTGTCCCCGTCGATGTAATACGATTGCCCTTGCGAGGTAAGTCACTCTAAGACCTAGTGAAAGGCCGTGTCCGTAGCGTGGCACGTACCCCCACTATTATCGTAATGAATCCCCTTTCCGTGGCTAATGAAAGATGTGTACACGGGGGTAGTATGTTGTGTTGTGATATGAGGATGTGACAGGTAATTGATTTATGTTCATGCTGCGACCACACATTCTTTACATTATTATTATTGTGTTATGCGTGCATAGTAGTGAACACTTCATTTTCATCTTGTGCTCACTCCCACATGCTCTTCATGGATGCAGGTTAAGCAGTGGCCGGGTGACGGAACAAAGGACGAGTGGGTGGTTTTAATTTATTGCATTTAGCTTCCGCTTATTATGAACCGTGCTGAGACTTGTTGAAAACCGTTTTCGAACTTATGATGTTTGTTTTTGGTTGGATTCGAAATACTCATGTTGCTTGGATTTATGAGATTCCAATTATGCATGTTTTATGATTAAGCTGAGTATTATGTTATATGTTGAGAATCGGTTAATGAAAACCTTGTGAAAAATCGGTTAATGAATTCCCGTCGGTCCAGATAAGACTTGGACTAAGAAAAAGTTTTGATAATGCCCTTGAATTTCGAAAATGAATTCGAAAAATATTGTTCTGATTTTAGAAAGCCTGGAATTTCTTTAAAATCAAAGTGGGTTGTTACATTGTAATTTTTAAAACAAAACTTTCAAACTATTATGACACATCACATATTGTAGGGGAAAAAATTTATGACTAAGGACGTGTTTGGATACAAAGTTTTTCGCTCAAAATTGATTGTTTGATTAACCATGGCTTTGAAAAAATATTTTATAATTAGTTGTTAGTGAAATTTTTAGTTTATATTAAAA